TTCACTGATCCTTTGATGACAAAAGTTCCTTCATAGTGTGTAGTATTGCATACTTGACATACATAACTTCGTTCAGTTACGAGTCTTATCTGTACGTCCTTGGTTAACAGAATCGATTGAAAATTTCTTCAATACTCTTGAATGGTCTTTGATAAGCACAATTGCAGTTTGTTTCAATTCATACGTCGTAACGTAGTCTTTCAATTACTCAAGGGGTCGTTGTCTTCAGGGCAGTAGCCATTTGACTTTTCATCTTGGATTTGAACGTATTTCAGGACAGCGAATCTAACTGTTCATGAGTGTTGATATGTCATATCGTCAGCAGACTGTATTATTAGCGAACACGTCATTGTCAGTAGGTAAATTGAATCCATCTTTGCTGTTCAAATTTCGATTAAGGATACTAACCTTTTTCTCAAAGGTCATAATTCAGAGCCTATATATATCACGATTGTGGCAAGAGTATCTCACATTCTCAAACTTTTCCTTACACCATAAAACTCGTTGGTCTAATTGGTAGTCATTCTCTTGGTAGAAATCCAAGGTTTATGACTACAGCGGTAGATTTAGGAAGAGAATTGGTAAGGAGAAAAATAAGGCTTACATATGGAGGGGGCAACGTTGGCCTTCAAGGAGCTGTTGCTTCATAAATTTATACCAATGGTGTTATAGTTAGAGGCTTCATACCAGGGTACATAGCAGCACGACAGGTCTATGGTCTTACATACGGTGCAGAATACACCATTTCTAGCAATTACTACAAGTATTTCAAGATGAATCATGTGGTGGAGGCTTTCATCATACTTCCCGGAGGAATTGATACTATGGAAGGTTTGTTCACCTTAATTTCGTGGGCATCTGAAGGTTTGCACAATAAACCCATTGGTCTCTTGAACATTGACGGTTATTTTAATAACCTAATCAAATTTCTAGATGATGCGGTAAGGCAGAACTTCATGGCTTCAAGTCAGAGGAAACTTTTCATTTCTTCTTTCTTCGTTGATGAGCTTCTAGACAAACTAGAGTTTGCTAAAGCTTTTCCAGGTCCTGGGGCTAGTTACGACGAGTTTACAAATCCTGGGAGATTGGATTTAGAGTTACATTTGTAATATTACTTCATGTAATTCCAGTTCTGTTTGTGTTGGAATAATATTGTCCATGAACATTATGAGTTAACCACAAATATTATTCTAAGCTGCATGGCCAGTGCAAGTCAGAAAAAATATTTCTTTTCAACATCAGAATGCATCATGTAAATATCAAACATTTTCTCAAGATGGGTCAAATGAAAGATTTCATTATACTAGGTGTTCGACATATGTAGATTCAAGCAAATACGAATATTTTTGGGATACAAATTGGAAGATGTTTTATCTTTTACAAAGAGTTGTCACTATTATAAACATTCATTCTTCAATACATTCTCGAACTTTTTCTTGACGATAATTTGACATTACAGGAGTATCATTCTTGATTTGAAGTGCTTTTAGAACGTTGACTTCTTCCTGAACGAACAGATTGATTTTGAATAGAAGTAATCGAATATGGTCCAGGGTTAGTGGGACATTCCCTTCGGAAATGTCCAGATTTGCCACAACCTAGACATAACCCTTGCGTAAACCGACATTCTCCTGGATGGTGTCTTTTACAAATATTACACTTTGGATGTTTCCATACTCTCATTTTGTTTACGGATGTCGTCGTTTAATTTGTCATTGACTTTCCCTTTTTTGAGTGTAGGGCACTTTTTATTTCTTGCAAGGGTCTCTTTCGAGTTGTATTTGGTCGTACATTTGAATTGGCATTCTCAATCTTTAGACTTTCATAGTAATCACTTAAATCCTTTTCATATTTGGATATTAGGTCGTATGCCTCAAAAATAGGATTTTAGAGCTCAAAAATAGCAATTTCAGACAAATTTTCGGATCAGAACTTCGGGGGATCGATCCAGCCCTCTGGATCTATCCAAACTATGAAAAATCACTCCCAGGGGATCGATCCAAGCCCCTTGATCGATCCAGACAGTGGTGTTTCAGCCACTGTTCATCTTCTTCTTCGTTCGGGTCCAATTTCGGAAATACCGTTTTTAG